AGTAACATGGAGACACACAGGACATTAGCCATCAGAGTGGTGACATCACCACGTCATTAGCCTCTGGAAAACTCCTCACCCACTCGTAAGAAAACATCTTACAGTATTATGAAAATAGCTTTGGAAAAAAAATAGCTTTGACCCCAGAACCTCTATCCTAGATAAATTGTTTTGCTCAGAAGTGTCTGTAACTTCGATGGTCAATCTTATAGACTTAAATATTAAAATTGTTTTTAATGTAAAACAGTAATTTTCTTACTGGACAGAAATCGGTTAGGATTAATGAATGACAGAATCAGGACCTAACCAGCTAGATCATTGGCCTAAAACACATCAACAGATGAGATGAAATAGAAATAAATGGAAAATTCCACATAGATATTTTAAAAATAACCATTTCTATTTCAGCTGACTTGATGAGTAAGCGTGTGAGTGGTTTAACTCTAATGCTGTTACTCTAACTGTGGTAGTTCAGGCTATCTGTCAGCTTGGCTGGGCTGTGAGTCTGAGTGGCTGGCATCTCGATGTGTTATTCTCCATGATGGGACTGGACGTGGTGTAATCACCTCCATGGTGGAATCTGCTGGGAGCAGCTGAAGGGAGTTGTCTTTGGGGTGTGGCCTGCTTCCAGTATACATGGAAAGGGTCCTGCATTCAGTTTGTGAGTCTTCATCTCCAGTTCCAGGACTTGAACCAGTGGCCTACCACGTGGCCTGCCAGTCTCAGGATTGTTACCTTTGTAGCCTGTGAGGCAACAACCTGCCATCTTACCTGCTGATCTTGGATTCATCAGCCTCAGCAGCCAGCAGCTGCATGAGTCAGGAGAAGCCTCCAGCTTGCCCCAGTGGGCCTTGACCAAAACACAGAACTGAGGCTCAAGAGCAAGGGGTCTGCCCCCAGCCCACAGAGCTGGCACTCTGAACTCAGACTTCTAGCCTCCTAAACTGTAAGAGTATAAATTTCTGTTTTGTTGAAGCTGTCCACTTGTGGTATTTCTATTATAGTAGCCCTAGAGAAGCCTTAGGGAGCTCTGGTGACATAGTGCCTAAGTCATTTTACTGCTAACCAGAAGCACTTGACTGCTAACCAGAAGGCTGGTGGTTCAAACCCACCAGCCAATCCTTGGAAGAAAGATTGGGCAATCTACTTCCATAGTGATACTACCTCGGAAACCCAAGGAGGGGTCACCCTGAGTCAGAATCAACTTGACAGCAGTGAGCCTGTTTTTTTTTTTTTTTTTTAAGCCCTAGAGGATTAGGACACTAACCCTTACTAGGAAACCAAATAATAAAAAAAAGCCCACCAAAGCCACATTTATCTTCTCCCTAGATAACAAAAGGCAATTGTGAAATAGAAAATTGTCACTACACTGGAGAAGTTGGCTGGGCTCTGGCTTAATTTTGCAAGCACAGGGTGAAGGGCAAGATGGAACTGGGTGAGGGGAGTGGGGTACATATGGGTGTGCAGGGTGCCAGGTGCCGGGCACAGACAGGGTAGACGTGGATGCAGAGGGGAAAAGGGAGTGGGCAGCAGTGGGGTCAAACCCACTGAACCTGTGATGGGGGCAGCCTCCCTTTGTTCCCCTCCTATAGCCACTCTGGAACACAGCCAGGGCCATGGCTCTGTGGCTTCCCAAACGTTCCTTAATAATAATCTGCTCCAGGGTGGATAATTTCTCCATGGTGGGCTCCCTCATAATATTTCACACATACACCTGGCTCTCCAATAATTGCTTGTTAGGAAATAGCCTCCCAGCCTAGAAAAAGTGGAGGAAGAAGACTGCAAACACTCTTATGAAATTAGCTTTTGCATGTTGTTGCACTAATCAGTTATTTCAAAATAGTTTCCTCAAAAGCTTCATCATTTTTTACCTGTTCAGAAGCAACAACCACTTAATATATGTCAAAAGGGATCATAGTTCAAAATCTCTCTGGCCACTACGAAAGCCTCTACCTTGAGGCAGAAAACTTGTGTGTGTGCATGTGCAGACAGGCGTGCATGTGTGTGCTCCCATGTCCAAAACATACGAGTGTGCTGTATGTACATACGTGTGAAGACAGGTGTGCATGTGTACGTGCTCACAGGTCCATATACATGTGAGTGTGTTGTATGTGCAGAGAGATATGCATGTGTGTGTGCTCATGTGTCCATATACATGTGAGTGTGCTTGCTGTATGTGCACACATGTGCAGATGGGTGTGTATGTGTGTGTGATCCCATGTCCATGTATGTGTGAGTGTGCTGTATGTGCAGACATGTGCGCACAGGTGTGTGTGTGTGTGTGTGCTCAGGTATTCACATGCATGCATGTGCTGTATTGTGTGTGCTCTGTGCATATACATATACGTGCAAACAAGTGCATACATGTGAATGTGTTCATGTGTCCATATATGTGTGAATGGGCCGTGTTCATGCATGTGCAGGTAGATGTGTGTGTGTATGTGTGTGATCATGTGCATCCATATGCACGTGCGTGTGATGCATATGCATGCACATGTGTGCGCACATCCTTTAAACAAACTTATGCGACAGGACTTTCCAAGAGGAGGCCTGACGTGAGCCCACCAAGTCACAATCTAAGTAAACAGGACATTCACAGGTCCCTTCATATTCTTATGACTCTGGTCCCTGATGTCATCTTCAACATCCTACTGATCTCCTCAAAGCAGAACCGAGGCCAGTAGTGCTGGGCATATTCTAGGAGGCATATGTACCTCTCCGAGCTCAGGGAAAATGGGAAAAAACCTCATGCAGTCCTTCCTCAGGCTTGGAAGACCATGCCCACTGCAACCCTGATTTATGTGCACTTATGCACTCAGGCATGTGTGCACACATTTTAAACACACAATTGTACACCCGGAAACATGTACACTTTATCAGACTCACACGTGGAAATGACAACAATGGTTCAAGAATCCTGTGTCCACCTGATCCGGTGGCAATGTGACCCTCCAACTTAGGCTGGGGTGCAAAGGCACTTCCACATCTCCCACAGGCCTCCTGAATCAGACTAATCCAACAGGCATTTGCTAACGGGGCAGGTGCCACTGCAGCCCACAAGTAGCACTTGGCAGTGGCTCAGGGAGAGCCTGGGGCTCACCCCACTCCAACACAGGGTTGGGGGGCACGAGGGAACGAGGAGTATGGCAGAGCACACAGCAGGGGGCCTGAGCCATGTCCAGAGGACACACCAGCAACTTGGGGGCCAGGGGCCATTTCCAGGATGTGGCCCAACAACACAGGTCCCCCACTGCACAGTGTGCTGGCCCAGTGACATGGGACTCCCAGAGGCCACAGGCTGACAGACCTTCCTCCAGTTGAACCCAAGCCAGGCCCCATAGCACCATGCAGGGGGGCTTTGGGAACAAGGAGACCCCCAGGTTCCAGGAGCTTGTGGAAGGCCACTGGACAGGAACTCAAATCACTGAAATAGAGACACCATAAAAGTGACTGCATAGTCCACATTCCACAGGAAGCCTGGGGGTCATGCACGGTGTGGACAAGGCCTCTTCCCGGCCTCTCACCAAAGCCCACAGGGCCTGTAACTACCAGACACCCCCAATGAGGACAGAGAAGCCCAGGTCCCTGGCAGCACCTGCCACAAATGCTAAAGGAGGGTCCTTCAGAAAGTGAATGACGAACCAATGTTCCCAGGTGAGGGCCAAGAGTAACCATCTGGGAGCTCTGGGCCTCGTCACAGCTGTTCCCTAGGCCTCTCCCTGGTCTCAGCTAGCCCGCCCAGAAGAGGGGGAGGAGAGCAGCTGAGGTCAGGAGGGGTCTGAGGGATCTGACCCCCAGTTGGCCACATTGCCAACCATCACCCCTTGCTCCAAAGGCAGATGTTCCCAAGGCCCTACTGCCTGCTCCTCATCACAGTGTCACCTGCGAGAGATACCAGTACCCACAGCTGTTCTGTGGTGCGACGTGGGCCTCCAGTGGCCAGAAAGCCACCATAGGGAGAGGCTCTGCTTTGACGCCTTCCACACCAGACTGACCACTCCCCAGGATGGGCCCCCAGCCTGAGCTATGAAGCACCAGACAGCCCAAGGAGTAAACGATTGGCCAGTTGCCTGCACTGGCAGATCCCCCCACAGACAAGCGTCCCTGGCACTTCCCATCTCGCCCTTCTTTCCTTTGATCCATAAACATTGGCTGAGCCTGTGTAGCTTCAAACACTACACCAGGTTCTAGGGAGACGGCTCGGATGCAAGGGCTCATGCAGTGAGTGAAGGGCACATCCAGTAAGACCGATTAGAGCATGGCGGGGCTGGTGGCTCCACAATGAAGCCCTGGGGTCTGTCTGGCCTCAGTACTCTGCACTGAAGGTCACTGAGGATAGGGAAGGTGGCCCTGCTCCCCACACCTCACCCCTGTCTGGGGACCAGTGTGTACAGGCTAGTCACCCCCTCTGGCTCAGCTCCACCTGCTCTCAGCACCCCGCCCCTGTCCGGGGACACCGGTCTGCACAACCAGTCACCCCACCCTCCACTCCACAGCCTCACCCTCCACCACCCTAAGGAGCTGCTCAAAGGGGCAGCAGCTGTTACCTGCACATATGAGGGCCACAGCCCACAGGATGAAGCCTGTCACCCTAGTGTGTCTGCTCATCAGCCGGAGGGCAGACACACCTGCAGCAAACACCTCAGCAAGCTTGGAAACAGAGCTGAAGGTGCCAGGTGTGGCTCTGCATTTGGGCACCACCCTACCTCGTCCCCTTGGTGGACTGGTGGCCGCCCTACCTCGTCCCCTCGGTGGACTGATGGCCACCCTACCTCATCCCCTCAGTGGACCGGTGGCTGTCCTGCCCTCCCTCATCCCCTCGGTGGACAAGTGGCCAGCCTGCCCTAACTCGTCCCCTCAGTGGACCAGTGGCTGCCCTGCCCTACCTCGTCCCCTCGGTGGACTGGTGGCCACCCCGCCCTAACTCGTTCCCTTGGTGGACAGGTGGCTGTCCCGTCCTACCTCGTCCCCTTACTTGACCAGTGGCCACCCCACCCTACCTCATCCCCTCGGTAGATCGATGGCGGTGGTTACGGCAGAGCTGCGGCACACCCAGCATGGCCTCGGTGAACACAGCCAGGAAGCCCAACGTCTCCACGAAGAGGGCAGAATCGAGGCACAGGTAAGTGATGTAGCCTGCCACGCCCGAGAAGGCCAGCACGCACTGCACGTAGTCCGCAAAGCTGCTCCAGTGCCAGAAGTGTTGTGGGTCAAAGTCTAGGGCAGGAGGAAAAGTGTGAGTGTGGTCTGGACAGGCTCAACACAGCGTGACCCAGCTCACGGGCGCCAACCTGAGCAGTACAGGAGGCCCACAGGCCCGCTGAAAGCCACTCCCCACCTCGGAACCACTGGCCTTGATCGAGCCACCCTGCATCCTGAGTCTGCAATGGAGAAGGAAGTGCTAGCCCCCAACTCCTAGGACGGCCTTGAGGACTAAGAGGTCGGCTTGGAGTCCGGGTGGATAAACGTACATAGTCTTTATCACTAGCTACACGCGACTCTCATTATTTACGGCAGTCCCATGGAAACGGAGCACCTTGTCCTATCTCAGCTGGAAACCTGTGTGGTGGGTAACTCAGGTTTTCACTGCTCTAGATGCATCTGCAAATAATGGTGACCACACCTCAAGTACTGCTTTCCAGGTGACAGATAAATCTGAGTGAGCAGGTCAACTCGGAAATACGGAATCCAGACTTAGTGGCTGGAGTAATGGCATCGTGTGCTTCACAGACGCTTTCTGTAGAGCTCACCCAAATCAGTAAATTAAACGAGGGTCCCAGAAGGTTCTGGGGCACACCTGGGAGGGAGGAGCCTGTGGTGGGAAGACCAGCCCTGGTAGAGGGGACAGGCCACCCAGGGGCTATAGCATGGATGCAGGCCAAAGGTCCAGGGCACAAGGTGAGGGCTGGAGGCAGTCATTATGCACACTGATGCCCACCCTCTCACCCCGAGACGAGCCGTCTACCCACTCCCGCACCCCAGGCAAAACAGCTGCTGGCTGTGGGGCCGTCAACGAGCAGCTGATGCCGCAAGGAGCCCAGGGGAGACACAGCGTCAGGTCTGGGGTCAGGGTAGCAATGCATCACCACAGACATGGCAGGCAGTGGCCGTGTGCCTCACAAAGGTGATCCCAGCTGCAACACAGAGGTCAGCCTGGGGACCCAGAGCCCAAGGCATGTACAGGGGCCAGGTACACAGAAAACCAGTCACACACAGATGTCATGTGAGGGAGGTGGCAGGACAGGAACCTCAAGTCTGGGACAGTCCCCTCACACCAGAACAACAGAGAGAGTGCAGCCAGAGGGGCTGTGGGCATGCTGAGGCAGGAGGGATGAGGGATTGGGGGTAAGCAGAGTCCGAGAGGGATACAAGTAGCAGGGGGCAGTGTTTGGAGGGACGTGGGACTTGGGGGATCGAGGAGGGACATGGGATGTGGGAGGCAGGGTATGACAGGGACATGGACATTGTGGGGGGTCTGGGAGTGACACAGGACGTGGGGAGCCCAAGGACACAGGAAGTGGTGGGGAGTGCCTGGGAGAGCTATGAGATTTGGGGAGTCTGGGAGGGACACAGGACATGGGGGATAGTGTCTAAGAGACGTGGAACATGGTGAAGGTGGACATCTAAGACGGACACAAGACATCAGGTGGAAGGCCTGGGAGGGACGTGGGCCATGGCAGGGGGGAGCAGTGTCCAGTTGGCATTTGAGAAACTAGGTCTGAAGTCAATTCTAACTGCCAGCTTCTCCAGCAGGGAGGAAATTGACAAATGATTAACAGGAAGACGAAGCAGAAAAGACAACATCAATGTGTGGAGGAAGCTTGGTTCCATGAGACATGTCACAGCGGACTGCTGTCACCAGAGGCTCAGAGCCACTCTGGATAATGTCATTCTTCCCTCTACCTATTGCTTTCCTCCCAAAGTGCCTGCCTGAGGGAAGGGTATCGCAGACACAAACCCCAGAGGCCTGATGTCACTCCCATGTAACAAGGAACTTGCTCAGGTCCAGTCTTGATGGCCAGGTGCCCACACCATGGACACAGACCGTCCTCAGGAGCACATCCACCTCAGCAGAACCCCATCAGTGAGGGTGAAGGCCCAGCGAGGGCTGCAGGAGCCGCAGACAAGAAGGGGCTGAACTTCCATCCAGGCTGCTAAAGACCCGCCTGTTCCTGGAGCTCCCCCAGGGCACTAGCACCACCAATGACCAAAGGAGCTCCCCCAGGGCACTAGCACCACCAATGACCAAAGGAGCTCCCCCAGGGCACTAGCACCACCAATGACCAAAGGAGCTCCCCCAGGGCACTAGCACCACCAGTGGACCAAAGGACAGGCCCAGGCTCCATGGAGTCTTGGACTGAGGTCCAATCCTGGCTCTACCCACCCAGCCAGGTTCCAGCTCCTTCCAGCATAGACACTACCTCTCTCAACCAGGTGGAGCAGCACCTTCAGATGGCCTGACACACAATGTTTGAAAAGAGTAGTTAACTGTCACTAAGTACTAACTAGAGCAAGAGATACGATTCTACCTTTTAAAAGTGAAAACTCCCCTAATACCTCCAGTCCAATGACAAAGACTCTATCATGAGAGCCCAAATAGTGAAAGCAATACTGAAGAACAAGAACAGAGTAAGTCTCACACTCCCGATACCCAGCCTGCTACACAGCCACTGTATCAGGTCAGCAAGAGACACACGCAGCCGTGGAACAGAACTGAGAACCCAGAAACAGATCCATCCACTATGGCCAACTGACTTTGGACAAGAAGTCAAAGTCCATTCAAGAGATAACAAACAGACTCAATAATAAAGTGAAATCTACTCGCAGAAAAAGGAATCGGGATCCACAGCTGTGACAGGTCTGGTTGTGTGGCAGCTGGGCTGGGCCCTGATTCTCAGTGGTGTAGCACTTATGATGGAGTTACGTCCCTGAAGAGATCTCATATAATGTAATCTCCCCCACGATGAGACCTGCTACGACCATTCCACCAGTCGAAAGTTTCCTCCAGGGTGTTGCCTGCTTCCAGTGTCTATGGCACCCTAACATTGTGCTCATCAAAAGACTATCAAAAGAGTAAAAAGACAACCTACAGACTCAGGAAAAAATCTATGCAAATCCAGTAAGGGTCTAATCTCTAAACTATATGGAAAATATCAGTAACAAAAAGAACCCAATTAGATTCCATCATTATCTCTTCATGAAATGGGAAACTTAGAAACAAAAAATCACGTAATTCGGTCACAGTTATATAGCTAGGGAAAAAAAAATAGGTGGAACCAAATAAAAGTTTTGAATAAATAAATAAATAAAGGTTTTCTCCAAATAATCATATTTTCACCAAGTAGTATCAGTGTGTGTGTGAGAGAGAAAATACACCTGTGTGTAGTGTGATGTGTGTGTAGTGAGTACATCTGTGTGTGCAGTGTGGTATGTGTGAGTGTGTAGGGTGGTATATATGTGAATGCATCTGTGTGTGTAGTGTAGTATGTGAGTGCATCTGTGTGTACTGTGTGTATGAGTACATCTTTACGTGTGGTATGGAATGTATGTGTGTGTATGCAGTGTGTGTGGGGGGGGGTTAGTGCATCTGTATGTATGTGTGAGTGCATCTGTGTGTGTGTGTGTGTGTGCGTGTGTACTAGCAGAAGCCAGACTCAGGAATAAAGGGACTCCACACTGACTTGGCAAACACTCCCATGTACAGAAGCACTTTGTGTCAGAGGCCAGTAGCTTACAAGCTCCATGACTGGCAAGGACAACCAGCACAGGCAGATAAGCAGCTGTACTTAGAGAGAAGGGCAAAAGTTCACCAGGAAGGCAGGAAGGGGCAAGATTATTCCGCCTGGAAGGAGGTGAGACCTGAGCTGGGTCAACAGGAAGGAAAATAGCATAATCAGCGGTCTATCCCAGATGGTCCCTGTCTATCACAGGAAGCAGCCTCTCTCTCTCTCTCAGGAGCAATAAAAATGTGTCAGCACCAGGGACAGCATCAAGATGACAGGCCAGTGACTCACTAAAGGAAACCAGCCCTCATACACATATAACTACATTATTGCATGTCTGAGAGGAGGGAGGAAGGCAAACGTGTGTGGAGGTAAAGAGGGATGAGAGGTTGTTGATGGTCCAGCATGTTTCCATGGTGATGGCACACTGATGGCTTAGTGTCACATTCTTCATCTCCCAGTATAGCCATTTGTCCCTGTCCATGGCCCTTAACAGGGAGCTCTGGTAGCGTAGTACCTAGGGCATCTGACTGCTAACCAGAAGGCTGGCAGTTGAAACCCAATAACCACTCCTCAGAAGGAAGGTTGGGCAATCTACTTCTGTAGAGACACCATCTCAGAAAACCAAGGAGGGGTCACTGTGAGTTGAGTTGACTCAACGGCAGTGAGTTTGGTTTTTGTATGGCCTTTAGCAAGTGAATCATTGTCCAACTCCATGTCAGCCTGCCAGCTTATGCCAGCTAGTCCCATGCCTCATTAGAGAAGTAAAAGCAATAAGTCTTCCTCCATCACAGGCCCTGGGGAGCTTAGTAAAACACTCTACCCAGCCCATGCACACAGTGACCATCACCAGACCATCACAGGAGCTTAGTAACACACTCTACACAGTCCATATATATGCTGACTATCAACAGACCATCACAGGAGCTTAGTAACATATTCTACACAGCCCGTGGACATGCTGACCACCGTCAGACCATCACAGAGCATAGTAACACACTCTACACAGCCCATGCACACGCTGACCACCACCAGACCATCACAGGAGCTTAGTAACACAGTCTACACAGCCTGTGCACACACTGACCACCACCAGAGCATCACAGGAGCTTAGTAACACATTCTACACAGCCTATGCACACACTGTCCACTGCCAGACCATCATAGAGCTTAGTAACACATTCTACACAGCCTGTGCACATGGTTACCATCACAGGAGCTTAGAAACACTCTACACAGCCCGTGCACACGTTGACCACCACCAGACCATCACAGGAGCTTAGTAACACACTCTACACAGCCCGTGAGCATGCTGACCACCACCAGGCTGTCAGAGAGCAGCAGGGAAGAGTAGTGTCCACAAATGAACACAAACACAAGGAGAGGCCAAGATCCACTCTGGGAGCAGAAGACTCTGAGTCCCTCTGTCACCAGGGAAGCCCCCCAGAGCAACAGCCCCCAGTCCAAAGCGAAGGAGCCAAATGAATCCTTCAT